TCATTACCCTAAGTACTTGTATGAAGACACGATTTGGTGTGAATATACTTTGTATAAAACCAGAGATATGAAAAATTGTGTTCCTTGTGTGTAATATGAATTGTAATGCATTCATTCCTGTCATATGTAACAGGTTAGAATTTTAAAAAAGTGGATTCATTTCTAAAATCTTTTGAGAGCAAAAGTTCAAAATACCCCCAACAAACTTCTGCTGTTTCCTCTGTGATACACTGGCTTTCCCAGGGAGGTGTGACATGATAGTTTTAGAAATACAAGCCGAAGCTGGGCATGGTGGTGCATGCCTGTAATCCCAGAAGCCAAGGAGGAGAGGCAGGAGGATCATGAGTTCAAAGTCAGCCCCAACAACTTAGTGAGGTGCTAAGTAACTTAGTGAGACCCTGTCTCTAAATAAAATATAAAATAGGGCTGGGGATGTGGCTCAGTGGTCAAGTGCCCCTGAATTCAATCTCCAGTACTAAATAAATAAATAAGTAAATAAAACAGAAAAGAAATACAAGCCCTAACCTAGGCAATGTGCTGGTATTTTACAAATTTATCCCACTAAATCCTCTCCCAAAACTCTATAGGCTAGGTAACCTTAATACATGGCAGATAAGAAAAGGGCCAGGACAGATAAATATCTCAACCATGGACCTACAGTTAAGTCCATGGCACTCAAGATCTCCCACTGAGGGTCTTACTTTTTCCCTTTGAAAAGCAGTTTTGCAATAATCACAAAGTTAGGGAAACAGAGATAGATACCAATAACCTTAGCTCCTTATTTTTTTCTTTAGCCACCTTATTAAATTTAAGTATAGTTAATATTTAATAATTAATTTAATAATAATTGATTTAATAATTAATTCAATGATTCATTATTATTATTAATTTAAATATGGTTAATATTTAAATTAATTATAATAGATTAATTACTATAGCACCTCAGTATAATTCCTCATACTGTAGATTTAAATCATTATGATTTCATACTACATTCTATGCCTTGAAACATGCTATCCAGATTGACAAGGATAGAAAAGTAAGAAGTATAAGCACCCTGCAAAAAAATCTCACATTGAAAGATGGCCACAAGCCAGAGGGTTTCACACAAAGGCAAGGATTTGCAAGGTGAGGGAGATAACAACCCTATAGGTTTTTCTATCTTCTACTCAGGTCTCCACTACATGTAGAAGCAGATTTAAGTGGCATAAATCAGAAAATGATAATGGGAACTGAATGAAATTCTCATAAATCACGTTACTAAGTATAGTTACATCGTAGATGTGAAACCCAATTAAACAGATGGCCACATGCTGTCAGAATCAGCCCCTAATCAATAAAGATGTTCATTTTAGAAAATCACCTCAATTTTTCACTTTTTCAGTGAAGCAAAAAGAAGGCAGTTGTGGAGGGGGGGAGTCTCAGGAAACCCAGTGGAGAAATGTGCAAGAAGCTCCACCTGTCCTAATTTGTAGTCCAGAAAATCAGGAAGGGAAAGAGGGGAAGCCACCCAAAGGATTCCTTGTCATGTTGCCTGGAAATAGAATTTACAATGAGAGCAGGCAGTGGTCATTAGGAAAACAGAAACAGCTTGAATCTCTTAATTAAAATACTGCTTCAAATTGTTCGTTTTAAAACCCCTCTGTCTATGAGCTTTTGAGAAGACATTGGTTTTCCTTGAGATGGCTCTTCCTGGTAAACCTCTGACAGGTTCAGCTCTTTCCAGGCCAAAAAAAAAGGCAGAGCAGGGGGATTCCTGGAGGTGGAACTATTATTAGACACACCAAGTCCCCAAAGAAGCACTAAGCCTTCAGTGGCATTTGAAAGTAAGTGGAGAAACAAAGGTGAAGAGATTATCTTGTTGATTTTCTTGCCTAAGATCAAATCTGGATCTGACATAATAGTGCATAATTTAGGGATATCTATATGGATTATTAATTTTTATCTTAAAAAATAAGGGAAAGATAAATACAAAAATCAGAATGGTAGTTACCTCTATGGTGAGGAAGAAAATGAAATGGGGAGGGAGAAAGTAGCTGCAATGATACTCGTAATGTTCTGGCTTTTTGCTGTTACGGCTTCATGGGCACACACTGATTTTATGGTTTCTTATAGACTTTATAATCGACATGGGCCAACATGTCGATTATGTACCAAATATTACATAATAAAACTCTTCCTTTTCTTTTTACTTTTCTGTTGTGTTGTGTGGTACTGGGGATCCAACCCAGGACCTCATGCATGCTACTTATGTACTCTTCCATAGCTGCACACCCAGCTCCAATATTTATTTTCTTTTAAAATAAATCATCTAAGCAATACCCCTTCACTTAATAGATTATTCCAAATATTATTATAATAATACATTTAAATAAATAGTAGTATAATTTTAGTTATAATTACTATCTCAAATATCATAAGTTCCCAAGTAACATATGCAGCTTAGTTTTCAACTTGGAGCTTAGTACCTTAAGAAAGCAACAGTATTTTCGTGATAATGAATATTTATATAGTAAGTAGTGACATTCAAAATATTTAACAACTTATTTGGTTAAATAAATTAGTGTAGAAATTAAAAAAAAAAATCAGCACCATCTGCTTGTTTTCCTTCTGTTCATTATTCTCACAGACCAAAGTCCTACAGACATGTATTTCCAAATGTGGCCACAGGAGGGCGACTCTGGTCGTGAGTAGACACAGATCTCAAGCTGTGGTCTCTGGCCAGGAAGTACTGTAGAGACAAAGAGCAGCTTGAAGGACTTAGAGCAAGTAGGCTGATTGACTGGCTAGAGGACAGACATAATAAGATGCTTCAGTGAAAAGGTGTTGTTTGAGTAAACACTTGAAAAGTAGGGGGGGTTAAACTTGCAGATCCCTTGGGATTCCAAGGCCAAGAGATCCCCAAGTACAAATACCTCAAGGGAAGAGTGTATCAGATATGCTGTAGGACTGTGAAAGAGGCCAGTGTGGCTAGAACTGAGGGAGGGAGGGAAGAGTAGTAGGAGGTAAAGGCAGAGAGAGATCCGCCTCTAGGTCAAAGTAAGCAATTTAACCTTTAAGCTGAGTAAAATAAGATACTGGTTTAAAAAAAAAAAAAACTTTGAACAAAGGAGTAACTTTGATTGTAAAATTTTTTAAAATAGATGCAATACCATATTTAGAGTAGACTGAATCAGAATGAGGACAGAAGCAAGGAGACCAGCTAGAAGGCTGTTACCATAATCAAGGTGGGAGATGGTGGTGTGAACAAGAATGATTCTGTCCCTGTGTTCAACACTGTAGAAATGTGATTGAATCCATGAGATTAGATGTTATCACCAAGAGAGTGAATGAAAATGGAGAACAGAGGTGAACAGAACAGACACCAGGGCTGAGCCTTGGAGCATGCTGCCATAAAGAGGAAGAGAAGATGAGGAGAATCCAGCAAAGGTTTGACAAGGAGTGGCCCATCTTCCCTGCAACAGGCTTCAACCAACTTGAGTTTGATGTCTGTCAAGTCTTTACCCTTTTACTACAAAGAGATGTACCTCTGAACAATATACAGAATTGTTCAGCATGATTTCCAACTTCATTTACATGATATCATACTCCATATAATTTTCCAAGTTCTCTTTTCTCATAGAACTTAGTATTTTTTAAATCCATCTATGTAAATACATGTCGCTTTAGATCATCAAGTTTTCACTGCCGTATGGTATTCCTTTGTGTGAACGTGCTATATTAGATTCACTTTCCTGCAAAGATACACATAGGGGATTTTCCTTTTTCTGCTACTGTCAATAACATTTCTGTGAGTATTCTCGCATGGGCCTCCTTTTGCCTTGCCTTGCCTTGCTTTGTATGAGAGTTCTCCAAGGCAGAGAACTTTTCAAACTTAAGCATACATTAGAATCACCTGGAGGCTTTTTAAAAGCAGGTTTCTGAGCCCCACATCCAAAGTTTGTGATCCATAGGTCTGAGGTAGGGCCTGGAAATTTGCATTTCTAACAAGTTCCCCATGATGTTGTTGCTACTGGTCCAAAACCCAAATTCTGAGAACCCCAGCACTGGAGCACATGTAGGTACCCCTTTGGCTCCTTTAGATAATGTCAAATTGCCCTTCAGTATATGTCTTTATTGGCAACACTGGGCACTGTCAGAATTTTAATTCATGCCAATTCTGATATCTAATACTTTATATATTTATCATGGCATTTATGATTACATGTACCCAATACATATAAGCAAAAGTTATCAAGATATAACATCATAGGTCTAACTAGAACATTTTCATGGCTTTCTCTTACATACAGTTATTCCCCCTCAGGATGTACAGTCTGCCCAGTTACCTGTCATTCTCCTCCTCAATCTCTAGGATAGTATAGTATAGTTAAGATGATTATGAGAGGAAAGTGAAGGCATGATTTCTTCTTCATGACAAACTTCATTATGGTTTTATTTACTGTAGGTGTTTTTTAGAGTCACAGATGATGTAAAGCTTAAAAATTAATAAGGCAAAGGAAGTGAGGAAAAATGGGTATAAGAAAGAAAAACAAACTTGGGCTGGGGTTGTGGCTCAGTGGCAGAGTGCTCGCCTAGCATGTGTGAGGCACTGGGTTCAATCCTGAACACCACATATAAATAAATGAAATAGAGGTATTGTGTCCACGTACAATTTAAAAATATATTTAAAAAAAAAGAAAGAGAAACAAACTTATTTCATCCACATACCTGGTCGCTTTTCAAGGGAAAGAAAGAATGCCCTATACTTCATCAGAGGCATGGAAATGTTCCTTTCATTTTGTACCAGATTTTTTTTTTTAAAGAGAGAGTGAGAGAGAGGTAGAGAGAGAGAGAATTTCAACATTTATTTTTTTAGTATTTGGCGGACACAACATCTTTGTATGTGGTGCTGAGAATCGAACCCGGGCCGCACGCATGCCAGGCGAGCACGCTACCGCTTGAGCCACATCCCCAGCCCTTGTACCAGATTTTAAAAGATGTCAAAAGGTTGTACTTACGGATCTGGTTGGTAGATGCACTGTAGAAGGCATTGACAGTTGTTGGATTTGTAAACCACCTATAGGAAGATAAACAAATGCCACAGGGTGATTGTCATTATCCAGGCAGGAGGGTGACAAAGACAAACATGATGTAGCTGGATTTATTAGCAGATACCATAGAACAAGGGGATTTGGCCTGGGGAAAATTATTGCCTCAGTTAGGGCTATTGCCTGTTTAGTGAATAATCTCTTCCTAAGTTGAACATGGCTCAATGAGAACATTAATATGCCTGGTCATTCACTGTTACTAACTTAACAGGAAAACTCAGCACCAGTGCTTCTAAAGAAGCTATAATGAGAAATTCTAGAATCTAAAAGGCTTTGCCTGCAGATGGAAACACAGCAAAAAGCTGATGTTTGCCAGGCCTTGTTCAATGGATCGATGAGATAGCTACAGTTTTATGCTGCATCACCTCTGACCTGTCCATTCAAAAGTTTCAGATTGGTGATAACATAGAGATCCACTTAAAGAGAGGTGAATAAACTACCACCATGCTTCCCAGAGGGTCTACCTGTTCCAGTGGAAAGCTTCCTGATTTTAGTGGCAAAAGAATTAACAATTGGGTCTGTCTATATCATTAACTAGCTGTCTTATAATACTCACTGACCTTCTTGGAGTCCAGTTTTAGCTATAAAGTTAAAGTAGGCAATTTTGGAGGTCCTTTGCAATTATAAACAGTTTATAACTTCATCTTAAATTTATAGGTTACTTTAGGAATTGGAAATTTGTTCTCTATAAAAAAGTCAGATTGTACACATTTTAAGCTTTGTGGGCAAAGAGGCAAAATCAATGAATGGTATTATATAGATATTTGATAGCAAACTTTGCACAATTTTTATTGAAGGAATTCAAAATAGAATAGTAATTTAGTAGAATTTTTTGTAATGCAAGCCTATTAGTGAGAAGAATTGAATTCTTTTGTGGTGGGATAACATTTTGCTTAATTGGGCTTCAAAGTTATTGCTTCACATCCTCAAACCAATATCAGAGATTTATCTGTAAAAATCATTCTTGGCTTATGGGCTATATGAAAGCAGGCAGCAGGCAAGATTTAGCCCACAGGCTATAGTTTGCCAAACGTAGATGCTTGTGGGTTTCAATCACTGCCCTTCATAATTAAAATCAAATAATTCATCTTAAACTAAAGTGTTCACAATTAAACTTGTGTGGGACTGAGGGCATAGCTCAGTGGTAGAGTGGCTGTGTAGCATGCATGGGGCCCTGGGTTCCATCCCTAGCACCACCAAATAAAACTTGTATGAATCCTCTTCAAAGAAATCAATTTACTCACTTATGTCTAATAAAATAATTATGTCAGTCTAATGAATTTATAGCTGTGAGGCTAATATAAAACTGGTATGAGGGCTGGGGCTGTTGCTCAGTGATAGAGCACTTGCCTCAAAGATGTGAGGCCCTGGGTTCAATCCTCAGCACCAATAAATAAATAAAAAGAATTGAAACTAAAGATATTTTTTTAAAAAACTGGTAGGAAACCCAACTATTGATTATAGCTTCCACTCCTACCTTCTCCTACCTATAAAGAAGTCTATGAATATGTCATATTATTATTATTAATAAACATTCACTAAGCACCTAAGGTTTTATTCTTATAGTCACTATGGGACATATTAGTCCATTTCACAGATGAGAACACTGAGATTTAGAAGCATTATGTACTTGAACAAGATCTAGTCTGACTCCAAAGCACTTTTTTTCCACATTGTATTGTATTGGTGCATTATAATTGTACACAATGATGGGATTTGTTGTTTCATATTCATACATGCACATAATATAACAATATAATTTGGCCAATACCACTCCACCGCATTTCCTCCCTCCTTCTGCACTTTCCACCCCTTGGTTCATTTCTTCTACTGATGTCCCTTTGATTTTTAGAAAAGCTACCCCTACCTTTGTTTTCCTTTATCCTCTCTAGCTTCCACAAATGAGAGAAAGCATATGACCCTTACCAAAGAAGTTCTCTTAAACATTATATTATACTGGAGACATTTCTGGAAATCAAAAAAAGAAGGTGCCTTCTCTCATGTCAAAATTAAAACTTAGACTTATTTCCATGAAATGCATATTCTCTTCCCTCAAATTTAGGATCAGTATTTCAATTAAGCCCTAATGTGTAATATAAACTTACTGGTTGGCACACTTTCCTGAGGAAACAAGTAGAAGGGAAAGCACATTTACTGACAGAGCTTGCCACCTGTAGTGATCCCCAGGATCCTGTGAATATGTTGCTTTATATAGCAAAAAGAACTCTGCAGATGCAATTAAGGTTGAGGACTTGAAAATGGAGAGTTTCTCCCAGACTATCCAGGTAGACTCAATCTAATCACTTGAGTCCTTAACAACAATCTTTTTTGGCTGGAATGACAGAGATGTAACAGGGGAGGTCAGAAGAGATACTGCAGATGAGAAGTCAGGGGATTCCAAGGGTGAGAAGGATCTGATGCACTTTTGCTGCTGGCTATAAGATTTAGAGGCCATACACAAGGACCATAGAAAGGCCCCTGGGAGCTAAGAGTGAGTCCCAGGCAATAGACAACTAAAGTAAGGACTTCAATTCTACAACCCAAGGAACTGAATTCTGTCAACATTCTTGATGAGCTTTTTCAGAGACTCTTAATAAGAGCCTAGCAAAGCTGACACCTTGATTTCCACCTTCTGAAACCAAAGCAGAGAAACCAGCCAAGCCAAGCCAGATTTCTAACCTACAAAACTGTGAGACAAATGTGTTGTTTTAAGTTGCTACAGTTGAAGTAATTTGTTACAGTAGCAATAGGAAGCTAATACTTTGCCCAAGGAATCCAGCATTTGTAGGTTAAGAGAATCCAGACACCTCTCAGCTTGGTTTCTAAAAATCATTCAATTCAATCATAATACACACAAAAGACTCTGTGTATTCCTACACTATGTTCCTTCTCTTTACATCCTTCCCCTTTCTTTCCCTTTAGCAAAGAATAAATGAGCTTGAAACAGCAAATGAACTTATGCTAGACAAAGGTGGACAAAACAAAGAAATCAAATAACCAATTCCTGAAGTAGACTTTGCTGAGGACTTCTAAAGCTTTAGCAAGGATGACTAAAAATCTTACCTCAGATACATGATCTTACCATTCCTGACCCTGCAGAGCTCCTGTTGACTGTAGGGCACATTTGGAGCCTTGATTATCCCCAGAGCTAATATTAAGCAGCTGCGCCAGCAGATCCTACCAGTTGTTCATACTATTCTTTCTTCTGTTTAGTGCCTATGCCAAACCAACTGTTCAACATTCCATACATTTCCTTTATTATATCCAAGTTTATTATATATTTAGTTTTACCATTCTCTAATGTAAATTGACCTGTGCTAGTTTTATAGTGCATTTACATTTTTTTATATTCCTCCTATGAAGAGATGGAGTCTAAATTCCTCTCCTCTTGATTATGAGCTAGCCTTAATGATTCACTTCTAAAGAATAAAATGCAGTGGGAATGACACTGTTTGACTTCCAAGGCTAGGCAATTAAGGCTGATACAACCCCAACCTCACCCCAGTATAGGAAGCATTCTTTCTCTCTGTTTCTCAGGAAACTTGTTCTTTCATGTTTCTTTATCAGCCAACATGTTGTTAAGAAACTCAATGTACTGGAGAATCCATATGTAGGTGTTCCAGCCAACAGCCAGAATCAACCATTGGATATGAGAAAGGCAACCCTTCCCCATGACTCCAGCACCAGCCACTATCTAAATGTAACTACATGAAAAACCATGTGCAAGAACCACACAACTGAGCCTAGTGACCCCCAGAAACATGAGTGATAAAAACAATTATTGCTGTTTTAACCCTTTAAATTTGGAAGCAGTTTGTCATGCAGCAATAGATATCTGGAACACTGAAAAGTTGGCTGTCCCCAGATTAAGTCCTACCCAGTAAGCTGAATTTCCCCCAGAAAACAGTTTTGTTTGCCCAAAATAATGGTTTAAAAATACTACTGCATTGGACCGGGTATAGTGGTACATGCCTGAAATCGCAGCAGTTTGGGAGGCTGATCCAGGAGGATCACAAGTTCAAGGCCAGCCTCAGCAACTTAGCAAGACCCTGTCTCTAAATAAAACATAAAAAGGGCTGGGAATGCGGTTCAGTGCTTAAGCACCTAGGTTTAATCCCTGGTATCAAAAAAATTTTTAAAAAAATCACTGAATTGGAATTTTTTAAATAGAATGTACAGTTACTAGTTCCCTCATGGTCCTCATCATTCCTTGTTGTTGTTTATACTTAGCTAGGTTAGCCATTTCTTCAATGACTGGACCCTGAAAGCATTTGAGTTTGCAGAACTTATCTTCCAATAAGATTTTAAGTTCCTCATGGGTTAAGATAATAGTCCAAATGGTACATTCAGAGTAGAAAATCACTTAATCTATTAAGATGAATTTATTATATTGCAAACATCTATCTTAATAAACAAAGAACATCATTTGAGTACTTTAAATTCTTCCTACTATGTCTTTGTGATGCTCCTGCAGTCTGTGTTTAGTGAAGAATTTAATGGATAAGGTAGGGAAAAGTCATATAAATTTAAAAGCCCAAAATATATGGGGATTAAATAATACTAGACAATAGGACTGATGAAAAGAATGTAATGCCAAAATACAATGATCTGAAGGAATAACATTCGTACTCCATTTTCTTGGAACCATATATAATAGATATACATTAGAGTCAAGTTTCACATTTTACTTGTCAACACTTGAAGATAGTCTAGAGAATATGTAATGGGAAAACCATCAAGTATCTATTTCTTTCTTACTAATATTTTGCAGTTTATATAACTCACATTCTGTGCTACAGCTGATTTTGCAAACAAAAATTCTGTGCAGAACCATAATTTGTAGAGACATTTGATGCATTTTAAAATGTATTTTCCAAAATATATAGAAAGAGAATCTAGGCATGTTTGGTCACAGTAGAATGAGAATGAGTTAATAGGGAAACTGGCTTAAAATCATTTCTGTCAAAGAAGAAGATCCTGAGGGAAAGAAATTACTCTTGACTCAAGCCAAGCAGTAAAATAAATCCTCTATTTTTAAGCAAACTGATGAAGTGACAATTCTGAGAACCAACCCCTAAATATGTACCTTCAGGGATGACCACCCAATTAATTTCATTCTTGCTGACATTTCCTATTGCCTTAGAAAATTCTTAATGCACATTAGTGCAGCTAAAATGAATTCCATGAGAATGAAAGATAGAGGGTATTTATCTCCTATCCCCACAAAGAAGTAAAATGTTATTTCAGGGTTTTGTGGAAATATAATCATGATGTGCTGTTCAAAGTGTAGAGGAGCTACTCCAGAATCATCCCCACTTGATTAACTTATGAATTTCAGACTTTAAAAATGTCAATTAAAGCCAATGGCTGTCATGAAACTAAAATTCCCTACAATGCCTGACAAAGTCCAGCCAGATATTTAGGTAGGAAGGGAGGGAGGGAGGGAAGAAAGCAAGGAAGGAAGAGGGAAGCGGAGGGGAGGGGAGGGGAGGGGAGGGAGGAGAGGAGGGGAGGGGAAGGGAGGGGAGGGAGGAGAGGAGGGGAGGGGAGGGGAGGGGAGGGAGGAGGGGAGGGGAGGGAGGAAGGGAGGGAATGACTGTCATATCACTTTACCATGCAAACAGGTTAAATCTCTTAATGTTATTTACCCTGAAATAGACATAATCTGAGAAAACAAGAATCAAAAGTATTATACCTATATTCATTCTTGGAGGATTTCTCCCTAAACATAAACCAATTTAATATCCTTGTGAAAGAGGTAAAGTCAGCTCTCCACATCCACAGGTCAGAGAAAAAAATGCACCTCTACCCGATATGTTCAGACTTTCTTCTTGTCCTTATTCTCTAAACAATACACTAGTGCATCTATTTACATTGTATTAAATATTGTAAATAATCTACAGATGTTTTCAAATATATGGGAAGATGGACATAGGTTATATGCAAAAGCAACTCCATTTTGTATAAAGGACTTGAGCATCCTCAGATTTTAGTATCTGTAGAATGTCCTGAAACCAATTCTGAATAGATTCTAAGAAATGACTATATTTGTTTTCCACTGATGGAGAAAAAAAAAACTACACATATCAAACAATTTGCCTAAGCCCACAAATTCACCCAGCATTTTTCCAAGGCATGAATAAAATATTAGCAATAGTCAAGAGCATTAGAATCTGACAACCAATCAGTATTTTAAGATACTGTTAAAGATGACACATTTGGGACTTTTTCAATTAGCAGCACAAGCCCTGCTACATATCCAAATGAATACCGACATTTTGAAATTGAAGAATTAAATTGGCATCATATCTAATATGGAGGAGTTCCTGCAAAAACCATAAAAAGTTACAAAACACTCCTTGGTAAAGCCTTGAATTTTCCACAAATTAAAAAAAAAATTTTTTAACTGATCTGAATTAAAGGGCAGAATGATTTGCATATATCTATAATAATCCTACTGTATGTAGATGGTCATAAATATATTAGAAATCATTTGCTAAGGAATGGAATATAGCTCAGAGGTAGGGCATTTGCCTAGCATGTGCAAGGCCCTAGGTTCAAGCCCAGCACTACAAAAATAAAAATTGTTGAAATCACTGGGTTTTGGTCATCAGATTTTAGAGCCCTAAATCTAAAATTTCTATTGTGTAGTTTAGTTTGAGGATTAAACAGGATAGGAAGACTAAGACATAATATGATAAGAGAAAAGAACCCAAGGCAGCAGACAATTATCTTTAGACAATTATCTATCATTACCAAAGAAATTTTAAAGCTATCTGTTTTCTTCTTTGATGCTTTTGTTTGGAGTCAGGGATAGGTAGAAGAGTGATCTAGCTTTGGGTCTATTCCTTCAAGGAAATAACTTACAAGTATCCTCACAGATGTATGTTGTACAAAAATTTGAAAGGCAGAGGGCAGGGATGGCAGATGGGAGCATAGAGTGCTTAAGCCTAGGTACAGGGAATTAGAGACTCTACAATCCAAGACAGAGTAAGGAGTTGAAAAGTGACAAAAAATATCAAAATAACCAGCCAAAGATCTAGAAACTAAGTATCAGCCAAGGTAAAAAAAAAAAAAAAAAAAAAAAAAGTGGACTATTGCGGTTAAATCTGCAAGCTTTTTCATCTAAAAATGGCCAATTTGGTGGAAAATGAATGAAGAAAACCCAGACTCAAATTTTAAAAAGAGATCCTGAAACTGAAAGTCAAACAAAGGCTAAATAAGCACTCCACATATCCCTGGTTGAGTAGGAAATTAGGTATATATACAGGGGAGACCAGAGAGAACCCAATAGAAGGTAAAATCCAAGGCAGATGGAGTGCTGGCTGTGACTTTGAAGGCACTCCCAGCCTACACACAGAGCAACTGGCACAGGGTAGAAGCCCAACAGGCTGGAGGTGGGTGAGCATAGTCATGCCCTAATCACTGGCTGAGCACTAAGTTTTGGAAACACGGGGGTAATCACCAGGAATAAAAAATAAGAACTAAAAAACTGAGCAAAATATCCACACCTCCTTATTACAGAGGATATAAATTCTGTAGTGTAATTCCAGCAAAGTCACTCTAAGAAAAGCCTTAGAAAAACAAATCAGAATCCAGAGTTGCTACATCATCTAAAATGTCATTTTCAACAACAAAAAATTATGTTATGCAAAGAAAAAGTATAAAAGAATCAATCAATAGCAACTGACTCTAAGTGAGCCCAGATACTGGATTTGGCAAAGATGTGAAAGTAGCCATTATAAATTAGTTCAAAAAATTAAGCTACATTCAAAAAACTAATGATAAATATGACAGTGACTCAATAAATAATCACAGGGAAGCAGAAACTACCAAAAAAAAAAAAAAGAAAGAAAGAAAAGGAAATTCTGGAGTTAAGAACAGATCAATAGAAATTATCCAACCTAGAGAACCAAGAGAAAAAATAAAACACTGGAGAAATGGGCCACAGTGGAATAGAATCTAGTCCCAGAAGCCAAAAGCACCAGAAGGCAGAACAAAAAGTCATCTAAACCTGAGCTGAAGAATTTCTCAATTGTAAGCTTTTTATTCAGTGGTAAAATAGGGGTAACTGTACTTCTACATCCCAGAAGTGACATGAGGATAAAATGAATTAAAAATAGTGAAGTGCTTCCTGGCATATTATAAACACACAATAACTGTTAGCTGCTATCATCATCATCATCATCATCATCATCATCATCATCATCATCATCATCATGAATAGCAGCAGCAGCAGCAGCAGCATCTGCTCAGGGCAGAAATCAGAACTGGCTGGCCCTGGGCCTCAAAGTATTTAAGGAAACTCTCCTACCAATAGGGAATGTTCTTATAGACAGAAGAAGACAAATAAATCTTAGCTGCTATTCTAATAGAAATAATATAGCTCTGAGTTCTTTGATATGCATTACACCTCAACAAATATCTTCTAGATGCTTCAAAATTATTCAATTTTTAGAATATTTTTTAGTTGTCAAAGGACCTTTATTTTATTTATTGATATATGGTTCTGAGAAGCAAATCCAGTGCCTCACACATGCTAGGCAAGCACTCTGCCACTGAGATATTCAGCCCCAAATTATTCATTTTTGCATGTCTAATCATACTCATTTCTAAAATATTTATTATTTTTTAAGATTGAAAAGTTTCCACCTGAGTGTGAAAATCTAGAGAAATATTCTTGCTATATATATATATATATATATATATATATATATATATGTGTGTGTGTGTGTGTGTGTGTGTGTGTGTGTTTGTGTGTGTTTACAACTAGATCTAGCAATAATTTTAATGTTAGCACCCTAGTAAGCCTTCTTCTGATAGGTGTTAATGACGATCTGAATCATATAATATCAGAAATAAGAGTTGGCTAAATATGACACAGATTTTGCTAAAGCAAAACAACTGGCAATCTAGCTACTCTAACTTGAGGGGAATTACAAAGTTTAATCTAAGAGATTCCACCTCCCAAAGTATTTATCTATTTCACTTTTTTTTTCTTTGAATACTCACTCTGTTTTTGGAACAGCTTTTCTTAGCCAGACGAAATCAGACTGTGCTAAATACTTTCGGGTTTGCAGAACATTGCCAAAGTAGTCCGATTCTGAAAATTTGATCTGAAAAAAAAAAAAAACATAATACATTGTTGTAAGTGAAGATAAGAGATGACTCTAAAAATAGATTTGAGCACATGAAGGAGCAACCAGCAGAGAAGCTACGGCCCTTGCAGCATCTCTCAGCCGTTACTGGTTAACCCAGGATTCACAAAGCCGTGAAATTTAATCTCAGTGATTTTCTTTAAACATAAAAGCTCAAAAATCAATATGGTCATTTCTGGATCACAGTTAAAAAAAACACGAGAAGCTACAGTCATTGACAATGTGTTCCATTTACTTTATAATTGAAAAATCTACTTTAACCTTTACAGAACATATCATCTTAGGTTTGAAATTTCTTGGCTCACAAGTTCTTGATCTTTCTAAAATGTGGGCCTTATTTATTTGTCACCTAAGATTGTTCTAATAACATTCAGTTTAGTCAGCTGAAACCTCATTTAGTTTATAGATGATGATTTAGTCAAATGTTAAAATCCAATTTACTGTAATCGGCATTTGTTCATAAAGGAAAAAAATGAAACCAATTCAGAGACCCTATTTTCCACCCTAAGCACAAAGAAGTCACCAGAATAATTTAATTATTAAGAGAATTTATCTATTAATACAAAAAGGCTCTGGTCACTAAAAATTAATGAAATTACAGAGGAAAATCATAGATTAAAGTTTGCAAGGGAATACAGGAAGTTGGTAGCTCACAATAATGTTGTCTACTAAGATAGGAAAATTGACATAATTATTGTGTTCCTTTTTTCTTTTTTCTTTTTGGTTTTTTGGAAGGAAATAGCAAACACTTTCAATACTAATACATTTCATCTACAAAATCAGCAATATTTAACCTATAGATTCTAAATAATATCTGTACAGCAATAAAAGCAATAGCTGGTATTGCTAATTAATGCTTCCATTTTAAAATATATTATCATAGCAAAAATAAATGTAAAATATATAATTGTGGCAAATAAGGAAAGCACATTTTTGAATAGGTGAAAACTAAGAGTAATCAAATTATTAGCTATATTTTTTTTTGGTAACTTTAAGACATAGTTTGTCTTTTTTTCTTTTCCTGGTACTGAGGATTGAACCTAGGGCCTTGCACATGCTAAGTAAGTGTTCAACCACTGAGTTATATCCCCAGCTCAAACCAAAGTCTTTTAAAATTAAAAATTAAAATACAGTAAATGCATACATATGAATACATATACATACATATACACAACTTGATGGTTACCAACTTGACATGTCACCTATTTGTTGGCCAATACCTGGCTCACATTTAGTTCCTCCCTAACACAGAGTGGGTATTCATGGTGGCAGTGTACACTCATTGTGTCCACAGAAAACATCTGTGTTTCAATAAGTTTTCTATGTCAACAACCTTAAAAATCTTTCAATGGGATCAGGTATAAAAGAAAGTGTAAAATAATTGAAGGCACACAGAGAAAGGGAGGAGTGGAAGTATCAATTCCCAGCACCCTTAATATTCTATTTGGCCAATAAATTATAAAGACATAACTTTAAATTGTCCTTTTATTAAAGTGCTTCAGCAGGGAAGGGGGGGCGTGATAAATAAATCATTATATATTCATAGAAAACAATACAGTGTTTTAAATCAATGTTCTATATGCATGAACATGAAATAATCTGAAAAACAAGGTAAATAAGTTGTATGAGAAGATTTAAAATTTTAAAACACGTGAAACAATACTATATACTGTTTATGGACACAAACATATATAGAAAAAGCATAAAGAAATACATAGGAATGATTAAGATTGATTTCACAGTACCATTTATATCCAGGGAAGGAGATAGGTAAGGAGGAAGGAAATCAGATCAAGAATTAGACACTGAATTTAAAATGTATCTATTTTATGCATTTAAAATGTATGTGTATTCTGGGCACAGTGACACATGCATATGTGTCAGGAGGCTGAGGCAGGAGGATGAGTTGAACCCACCAGTTCTAGACCAGTTTGGGCAATACAATAAGATCCCCTTCTCTAAAATAATAATAGTAATAATAATAAATTAAATGTGTATGCATGTATAAAAGCTATTCAATAATATTTTTGAAGATAAATGTGTTCAAAACATTATTTTACATATTGTCCCAATGTTAGAAATGGTTCATAATAAAAAGAAATCTTCTAATTGATTGTTATTTTAAGATAGAGGTTTTCTCCTAGCTTCAAAAGAAACATAGAAAGCATCTTGGTTTAGGAAATAGCCTTAACTAGCATTCCTAAGACATTCTTGTATCATATAATTGAAAGATATGTCCAGGTGCATGCCTGTAATCCCAGCTACTCAAGAGGATGAGGCAGAAGGATTGCAAGTTCGAGGCCAACCTCAGCAATTTAGCAAGACTGTCTCAAAATAAAAATTAAAAGGGCTGGGGAATGTAACTCAGTGGCAAAGCACCCCTAGGTTCAATCCCCAGTACCACAAAAAGAAAAAGAGTCCATTGTTCAAACCTGAGCTTTTTTAAGCTTTTGTTTTTTTCCAAGATAGCCCTGCCAAGACTGAAATAAAATTCAGATATGTTTTTTGGCTTCAGAACATTGGGAAATTCTCCCAAAAGTATTTCCTTTAAAAATAATAACTATTTTTTGAAATATTACTGAAGTCAGTTTTTACTTTTAGAAAAGTTTACTAATTGTGATACTTTCCCATTCCATCTAAAAAACAACACCAGGGTCTGGGAATACAGCTCAGTTGGTAAAGTGCTTGACTTGCATGCATGAGGCCCTGGGTTCAATCCCCAGCACCACAAAATCATCATCATCATCATCATCATCATCATCATCATCATCATCACTAACTTGACACTAAGTTTGGTCCATAGACATTAAAGATAAAACCATCTCAAAACTTCCAAAGAAAATAATTCCAAATCTAAGAACACTATAAATAAATAAAATTCTACCATACCCACAAAATTAATCATTCAGAGTAAAACTTAACTGTAACACATTACAATTTGCCACAGCTTAGGTACATTTAGAAGGACAATTGTTATATTGTTTTAATTATTAAATTGTGAATATTTATCATTTCTTAGACTGGCTTAATTTATGCATTGCACTAATTTAATGGAAATTACAAGTAATGGGGATCAAGTCTTACTTCGAAGACAAAAGTGTTTGGAGGTAAGAGGGGCAGTCATTATTCACATATGATAGATAGGAAATAGGTATAATGAGACTATGGAACTAGGCAAAGCCACACAGCCCAAATCATTTGACCCCTACTTCAATGTTATTTTCATTGGTTCTTATAAGAAACTCAGTAATTCAACAAAATGAGTACAGGGAAGAAGGAGGAGAAGATAAGAATTAGAAACTGGAATAGATGTAGTGATTAAATAAAATCATCATTTGGTTTTCTTAATAAAATACTATATAGCTATTAAACTAATGGTAAAAGGCTATAGAAGACAGTGCCAAAATAAGGTTAACTGTAAACATCAGTATTAAATGCTATATAAACATCAATTATAGCTATATAGTAATAGATAAAACAGTACACTCTAAGGGAAATATGCATTATTATGGTCAAGTACCAATATTGTGGGTACTTTTTAGTTCCTTTCTTCTATTTCTCAAATTTTCTTCCACGTGATAACACTTTGACAATTTCAAATATTTCAGAAGGCCCTTGGATGAGAAAAAAAAAACTCAAAACCCAGCAATGATAAGGAAAGTTATGTTTGTTGTTATAGAAATAGCATTAAAAATGTGCATGAATATTTAAATCACTTGTTATCTCAAAAAAAAAAAAAGTAACCTCTGCTAGGGACAATAATTAGCTCAAAAGCCTCTTGTCCTTTCAGTTACTGGGAAAAATCTAGGTCAAGTTGATAATGACTTTCAATCAATTCTATCTCTAGACCTTTCAATGGAGTGACCTTTGGGGAACTAATTAGGTTCCCATGTCATTTCTTAGGAATAGCTTTCCAGATTATAAAACTCATGGGAACTTGGATTTCTCTTCTTGGAAATTCTGGCCTGGATGTCAAGCACCAAATGTTTCATAATAAATGGAAGAATGAAGTTATTACTGCCTTCTCCCACGAAGTTAAGAAGCATATAACAAGGGCAGAACAAGGAAATATGTTCAGCTTCTTTGTAAAAAGAGTAAGGATATGTTTATAAGAAACTACACATACCAATGGAAATAAACATTCTAATGCACCTCTCCTTTAACTTAAATCCTTTAAAGATACTCAGAGATATATCTAAATATCTAAAAAGATCATGTGTTAGGCCCTCAGATAATTTTCTGAATGCTTAATGGAATCCAGATATTATATTTAGATTTTCCTTGTTTAAACAGCAGAGCAATATGCAAAACTGGTGTGCTTAGATGGCTTTGCTCATAAATGACATGTGTGTATACAGAGACACACACAGAAATATTACAGACCTCTAGAACCTATTCTTGGCTCTCCAATGTCACAGTAACCAGTCACTAGAGAAACATGAGGGAAATATTTTTTGTTTTGTTTTGTTTGTTTTCTGCCAAATTGTAAAGAGTTATTTTCATATTTTAACCACATCTTTTTCTAGAGAATTCCATCCAAATATCACCACACTCTTGCATAGTGATACTGTCATTTACATGCATATATACACATGCATGTGCGTGCACACACACACACACACACACACAATGTTCCCACCCCAGAGAATATAATGTGGGTTCACATAATATCTATCTATATGATATGTATACATATATGTATAAGTGTGTGTAATACTCACAACATTGATCTCTGAAACTTTATTTATTTCAAAGTCTGCTAAGTAAATGGAGTCCAGCTATGATTCTGACCAGAAGCCCTACTGCAGTTCTCCAGTCGTTTTCACAAAATAAATGAATGAAGGGCCTTCTTGTGTTTAGTTATTTGCCTATAATGACTCAGCTACCTTTTCACTCTGTTTAGTAATGCTGGGGGACCTAGGAATCTGAACATTCTGTTTCTCAAACTCCTTTGTCAATTGCTTTCCTGCATTGAAGGCACTGGGGGTAAATCAGTGGGTGGCAGGAGGGGAGATGTTTTGCTCTCCAGTCCCCTCTCTGTCTCTTTTGCCCATCTCCTCCTTCCTTATGACAATGACTTTGGAAGAATGTTTGGTCCCTCCTCCATAGGCCAGCAGCTCTGGAGTGGCAGTTCCTCCTCTGCTCTCCACATCCTCTCTTCTGTGTCCCTAGGCCCAGGGTTGGTAGCTGCTTCCTAAAGTTATGAATCTCTAGTTTACCTCCCCTTCCCATTCTTTGTCTTTCAACTTATTTCCTATATTAAATTCCTGTTCAAGCCAGGCACAGTGGCACATGCCTGTAATCACAGCAGTTTGGGAGGCTGAAACAGGAGGATTCACAAGTTTAAAGCCAGCCTCAGCAATGGCAAGGCCCTAAGCAACTCAGTGAGATCCTGTCTCTAAATAAAATACAAAATAGGGCTGGGATGTAGCTCAGTGGTCAAGTGCCCCTGAGTTCAGCCCTGGTACCCCCTCCAAAACTCCCTGTTCAAAATACCTAGTACACTTTTTGTTCTCGTGGATGATACAGCAATCTTGCCAAAATTGGTATAAAACTCACTCTTGAGTCTATTTCCATTAAGGATCAATGAAATAGAATACATATTTATAAGGCTAATTTGAAAACAGATTGGCTCCTACTTTGTTAAACTAACTAATAGGCTTTCCTGCATGCTGATGTGAGTTCAAATAAAGGGCATTTCCTTTCTTCTTGTTCTTTTCAAAAACTGTAAGAGTATTGTTGTGCAGAAATGCTTTGTGCAGTATCTCAGTTTACCTTGTTATCCTCGGATAAAAATAAAATTCTCTGATTCTTTTGCACGTTTACCTCTCAATTCTTTTTTTTATTTGTTCTTATCTCCATATGAGCCCAACTTCAGTTTGCAACCTTTCTCCTTGACCTTCATCTGATCCATCACCTAATCTCACTCCTCTTTCCTTTTGTATTTGTACCTGATGAATCATATCTTCACCAGTGTCAAATGTAGCACGCCACTTTTCATTTGTAACAGCCTTTCATGCTCACAGCTTATATTACCAGAAATTTCTCATAGACCCTGAAGTAGTCCTTATCTACATGTCTCTTAAAACTGAAAACACAGTCCTATTGTATACTAGCGATACTCCAGTCCTTTTGCTATTAACCTCAGTGACACTATTATATTCTATCACATCATTGTTTATCCTATTTTCAGATTGGGTTTTATTCATCTCCTCTATCAGTTTCTGAACACAAATATCTTTTTACTCCGTGTATTTGGATTTTGTTCACGGTTAGAAACTCTTGGGTGTAATTTTGTCTGCTTTGGCAATGAGTCAGATGAAAGCCATTTCTGCACAAAAGTACTTAAAAATCTTGGTGTCTAATGGCTTCATTTCAGGCCCTGGAGAAATGAAGAAGCATATCTAGCATATCCTGTTTGGTATCTGGTTTCTTTTCACAAAAGATACTGCATTCAATGAGTTCTTAAATCAGGTCTCTCAACTTAGACAATCACAGACTGCCAACAAAACTTGATCAACCGAAAATTGTGAGCGAGCCCTGAATGCTACATGATTTGATTAAAGCTTGGGACTGTTCCATCTGTAAAGCCTTTTAAATCAATTTGAGGGACCTGGATACTGCATGAGTTAATTCATGATGATTTTTTCCAAACCAAAATAATCCACTATCATAAGTGCAAATTGAAGATGTCATAGCTAATACTTTTGTTTGTGCTTATGTGCCAGAGTCAGCTCTAAACACTTCAAATACTCCTATATGGTAGAAATTATTATCATCTTCATTTTGCAGATGAGGAAACTGAGGAACAGAAAGGATCCACCACCTACCCAAGGTCCCAGAGATAGTAAGTGGCAGACCAGGGATTTCACTGTATGCAGTCTGTCTCCAGGGTTCATGTTCATAACTAATATACCTAACTGCCTCTTCAATTTCTTCCTCCATATCCTGACTTGACATATTTACCACTTGCACACGATTGTCCAGGTTCTCCTTCTAAGATACTTCATGCTCTGTTGATGCTCTTCTTACTAGCAAAGTTCTCATATTGATCCACAAGACTAATATTAATATATATATATATATAAAGCCTATTATGTGACAGACATTGTACTAGGTGCTTCCACAGTCATATAGTCTCATCTGTATACTAATACTAAGGCTTGATTATTATCTCCTGTATCCAGACAACCAAAAGGAAGCTAACTAGAGTTATATAACCTGCACAAGATCAAACAGTTAGGCAGTGAAGAGACAAAATTCAAACCCGGGCCACTGTCTCTAGGCTCCTGACTACTTGACAATATGGCATACCCTCTTCCATTTTCCTTCTCATCAGCTCTAGTAAAGCTGATGCAACCAAAGTTTCCTGGACCTAGATTTCAGTCCTGGCTCTGATACTGTGTGTGGCACCAAGAAGATCACTATACTTCTCTGAGTCTCTTATGTTCTATGCAAAATGAGCATAAACATATTCTCTTCATCACTGTATGAATTAGAAGATAATGTACATGAATGTATAAAGTGCTTGAGTATTTTTAATTACCATATAAATAATGGGGTTTTCAGCATCATCAAAATGGTGCATAAGATAGGCTGTCTGAGCTTTAAGATACTGGAAAACAGAATTATTTCCCTCCAGAGCAAATGGATCAATACTTTGCAAGGCCATATCTTAGAGCTCAATGGAGAAAATTTTAAATGAGATTTTTTTCTCACTTTAAATGCCCTTATAAAATTCGGATGCTTGTCCACAAAGCTCAGACTAATTACAGATATGCCACTTGTCGAGCCACGATTTCAGGAAAAAGCTACACCTCAAAACCATAGTTATTTAAAGGCTACTTTTCCAAGAAAATCTAGTGAATGGTAAAAATAGTAGTTTTTCCCCCTGTGAGGAAGAAAAATACTTTACCAGAACTATTTATAAGAAATATAATAACAGTGGTTGTGATTAGAAAGACCTATAATGAATATTTCTACTATAAAATACATGCTCCAAAATATTAGAATAAAAAAGAATTATTACTGTTATTCATTACAAACATACAATCCAACTCACAATAAATTATAGTCATATGTATATGTATTTAATTTGCCAAAACAGTCATAAAGTTTAATGAAGTTAACTCCCATTAGGCAGATTTATTACTTTTCACTTAATATGAATGAAGTAAATAAAAAGTATTTAATATAAACATGATGCATTCACCATTAGAATATGCCCACTAATTGTAAAATACTTGATTTGTTTAATTCTTTTCTTTATGATCAAATTAGGCCAAATCCAACTCCATTTGCTTTATGGTGTTCACTCAGCTATGCATTCTTTCTGACACTTCCTTTATTTTGAATCTGCTCTAAATCTTGTGATACGCCTGGCATATTCAGGTTCATATCTAGCCAAGGAATTAATCAAAAGTTGGTACTTTCTGGCACCACCAGGTTTAATTGCTTGGACTTGGGTTAGTTGAAAGGCATAAGGCCAGTAAAACTTGCCAGGAAAAAAATACAATAAATTTAGCACTTACTGCCTTGAGGTCTTCATTAACATGAGTATCATTCATTATAAACTCAGGGTAGCCAACTTTTGCCAAAACAGCTCTTGCCTATAAAAAGGAAAAAGAAAAATGATGTCAGAGTTTCAGCACTTAAATCATTAATAACTACAGGTTGAAGGAATGCAATCTTCATCTGGAAACTCCACTTACTGAATATCTACTACATGCAAACCACTGTGAAGGAAAAAACAAAAAAGAAACAAAAGTTAGTCTCTCCCCTCAATACAGGGAGAGGAGGAATATTCCAGAAAAAAAGAAAGAACAACCAAGCAAAGACAGAGAGAGAAGATATTTATGAACCATATATCTGATTAAAGGTTAATATCCAAAATTACATAAGAAACTCAAGTAACTCAAGAAAGTAAGTAACTAGAATTAAAAATGGGTAAAGAATTTGAAAAGGCATTTCTCAAAAGTAGATGTATGCATCCAACAAGTATATGAAGAAAATATTCCAACATCACAATCATCAGAGAAATGCAAATTAAATCACAATGAGATATTTTCTCACACCTGCTAGGTTGCTATTATCAAAAAGACAAGCTTAAATTGTTGGATGTGAATAAAAGAGAATCCTTGCCTGTGGTGACAGAAATATCAATTGGTACAATCACTATGGTACAGTATGACGGCTGCTCAAGAAATTAGAAATAGAACTACAAAACAGAAAGGACATCCAGCAATAAGATCCAGCAATCCCACTCCTCGGTATATATCCAATGGAAATGAAATCAGTATGTCAAAGACACATTGGCACTCCCATGTTCACTGCTGCACTATTCACAAGAGCCAAGGAATGGAAAAAAAAACAGTGTCCATCAGTTGTTGAATGGATAAATAAATTGATACATATACACAATGCAATACTATTCCCCCATAAAACAGGATGAGTTCTTATCATTTGGGACAGCACGGATGGAAATGGAGGTCATTGTATTAAGTGAAATAAATCAGGTACAGAAAGATAGGTACCACATGATCTTCCTCATTTGTGGAAAATTTTTAAAAGCCCAAATTCACAGAAGCAGATAGAATGGTAGTTACCAGGGGTTAGGGGTTAGGGGTTAGGGGTTGGACTTGGCTAGATGTTGGTTAAAGATACAAAATTTCAGTTAGATAAGAGGAGTAAGTTCAGGAGATCTATTGTACAATATGGTGACTACAGTTAATAACAATATGTCATATACTTGAAAATTGCTAAAAGTAGATTTTAAATGTTCTTATCACCAAAATAATGATAAATGTGAGGTCATGCATATGCTAATTACCTTGATTTAGCCATTCTACAATATATACATATATCACAACATCCTGATATATACCATAAATATATAAATAATTTTATCTGATGTACAGAACACCCTGTCCTGAGTTACTCCATTTTGTATAAGAGCAGCATCTTTCAGGTCATCCCACATGACTTGTTGAGGGTGTTGCTGAAAAAAACCAACTGCCTAAAAACCACTGTGCCACCCAGGGAGCTTAGTCAGTGGGTATAGCTGCTTCCAGAGTTTGCTGACTCTGAGAGTCACTTGCCACCCTCCCTTTAACATCAGGGTTCAGAAAGGAAAAACTAAACCTATCCTGAAACTTGTTCCCTAGGCCTCCAGGCTACCTGAAAACAGCACCATGTATAAAATGATGGTCTCTGTTTCTGAGCTGCCTATAGTTATTGAGGTATGGAATTGGAAGGTCCCCTATAGTGGACCATGGCACCTCACTAGTCAGGTAGGGATTGCTCTTTGAGAGGTAATTGTTACTCTGTGTATCCAACACTTGGTGGTTATTCACTTGCACAGACAAGATGCCAAGTCATTCTGCCTTAGGACTTGTACTCAAAATGGAGTAGCTCAGGATAAACTGCCATTCTATATAAAAGGGTATAACTCAGGGTAAAAATACAGTAACTTAGAGCAGGACACAGACTGTTCTCTACATCTGACAATTTAAATAAATATGAAAAACAGACAGGAATACACGAAACAAATGAATCACAGGGATCACTGGGATACCTGAATGCCATGCTAATGAGGCTATATTTTATTTTACAGCTAAAACATAGCTAAATATTTTTATCAGGGGAATAAAAAGAGATGAGTTGTGCTTCAAGAAGATTATCTGTGCAACACTGTAAGTGATGGTCAGAATAACAGAAAGATTGGAGGAAGGGGGTCCAGAATAATTTGAGATACATAATAACATCGCAACCATCTTTTTGATAGACAAAGGTACTAGTAACCTCTATGTTTTGCAGTATACAAAGAATAGATAAAGGGGGAAAAATCACCTTAGGCACATGTCAGCGGTCTCTAGAGCAGAAATTGGTACACTATGGCCCCCGGGCCAAACCCCAGACCTCCTCTCCTGTCTCTTTATATAAAGTTTTATTGGAACATGGCCACACCCATTTGTATGTGTGCTTTTGTACTACAACTTTGAAGTTGACTTGTTGGGATGGAAACCCTGTGGCATACAAAGACTCAAAATTTTATCTGGGCCTTTTGGAGAAAGTTTACCAGCCCTTGCTCCAGAGAAACATTACAGTTCCATGTAAAAAATATTTTCCCCTCACTCCTCTAATTCTGGGTTTCACAAAAACAAAAAAGCAGCTCACCAGAGTGATGTGAGTACATCATCAAGGTCCTGGCCAGATCCCCTAAGATCCCTTTAATAAATTATATGTGTACACATCCTCATCTCCAGATCTGCTTCCAGATGACCAGCATAAGACCCAGGCACGCCAAAACCATTGGTTTTAATCCAGCAAAGTAGCAATGCAAATGGGTGACCTTTGTATACTGCTCTTGGTAATGAGTTTTTCCCCTAGTTCTTTTCAATTTTCCTCACTCAAGAAATAAAAATAATAAGATAGTACATTTTCCTTATCTTCCTTAAGATAATCCAAATATTAAATATCAGCAGAAACCTGCAACTCAAGACAGAGAGGATGTTACAAGGGCCGTAGGACACAGTCATGATGGGTTTTGCTGTTCCACAGACTCAAATATAGTACAGATCAAATGCTACCCTGTAAGTTACACACACTAAGAGCTTGATGTGACCCAAACAGTAAATAACTGGAGGTTACGAGTCTCCACCAAACACAAAACAATATGTCATATGTCTATAGGTTACCTTGTTCTGAAACTGTTTGTATTTCCCTCATTGTACTTAATTTCTCACTGTATTTTTGCAGTCCACCACAAGTCATGTGTATAACTATAACAAATAAAGAGCTATGGATAGTTCTCCCCATGGTGCTCCCTCTCCAATAAGAAATAAACAAGCTGACTCATCCACAATTGCTGTCTGAACACTGGCCTTTCTAGAGCATGCTGGTAAATTGGTAAATTATGCATTGTTTTTCAAATCTCATTCTCTGGGACCCCCACTGTACTATGATGTCTCACAGAACATATTACCTTCTGTACTGTATAAGCAAGCCATTGAATCCTTTCTTATTATTTATTTAGCATCACCATGAATTGAAGCAAATCAGACCAGATATGAAGAATCCCTATTTACCTCCCAACGATACACAGCTAAAATAAGGTAATAATACCAGTAGCAACATTGCTAACAAACAAATGGAATGTTCTTCTTCTCAAATGTGGACATATGCCTGTATTCAGATTCAAATGCTTCTTCTGCCAGAGCTTACTACTGTAAATTCCACATCCTCCCAGGCACCCCACTCTACATTTTTCCCTGAGAAGCTTCAGAACTGCATCTTTCAAAATTCCATGAAGCATGGTTCCAGGTTAGACTGCCAATAAGAAGCACTCATAGGCCACTGGGAAGACGGAAGAGGAAACAACATTTATTCATTGCTGGTAGTCAAAGGCAAGTGCATGGGTATCTACACTTTGCCAGCAACTGCCAGGCATTCTCCTAGGGAAGACCCATTGGTGTGCAGGCAGCAGAGATTATAAGCAGGCCCTACTTTTCACTTCCCAGCCCTGCAATGGTTGCATAATCTTCCAATTCCCTGTGCTAAACATTTTCCTGCTTGATATATTTAGAAAAGTACCTGTTTTCCTGCATGAACCCTAAGGCAGATAGTGATCACATCACTTTTTATGGTAAAATTTCCAGAATTGGATATGTAAAGCACTAATAATTTGATGGTTTGTTATAGGGCAAAATATTAGGAGGCAGGTCTGAAATCAATTATCCCTCTGGTTACATGGATAAGAATGAAGCGCAAGACCTGAGACAAAATAAATATGAATATTTAACACATTGCATATTATATCATACAAGTTACATTTTCTTAGCTCTTTGAGGATGGTCAAAAACTCAAAGGTTTTTTCATCCAGTATATACATTTCCATCCCTTATTCCTACAGACACTTGGAGAGGAGCTGCACTTGACTGGACATCCTTCCTCAGTAGTGGAGGCTCCAGCAACTCTTTACCACTTCCATGACCTTAAAAATGTACTTCTCGGGGCTGGGGATGTGGCTCAAGCAGTAATGCGCTCGCATGCCAGGCGCGGGGCACTGGGTTCAATCCTCAGCACCACATACAAATAAAATAAAGATGTGTCCACCGAAAACTAAAAAATAAATATTAAAAAAAATCTCCCCCCCCCTCCCTCTCCCTCTCTCTTTAAAAAAAATGTACTTCTCTAAAGTAAATACTTTCTAGTGCCTACCCAACATCTATTCTCCCTTTTTTTCCTCTTACTATCAAGACCCAAATTCTGCTCAGTATGATAATGGACCCACCAAAAAAATGGCTGCAACACCTGCTTCCTTCACAGCTTAATTTGGCTGTGGCATGACACTTGGGCAAATGATATATAATTAAAAATCCTTGCTGAACTTCCAAGGATCCATTTTAATAGTGAACAGAGTCAGGTGGCATGTGCTTCCTGTCTTTAGTCCAACGTTTCTCAACCTCAACACTACCGACATTTTGGGCTAGATAATTCTGGTGGGGGACTGGCCTGTAGACTGTAGGATGTTTGGCAGCACCTTTGGTTTCTATACAATAAATTCCACTATCAAACATCTTCCCAACTCCTGAAAAAAAGGTTGTGACAA